AATATATTTATGTTTAATGTAGTTATATGTTATAAGGTAGAAAATTTATTATAATATAACACATATAAGTCGCACAAGTAACATATGTCATACTAAAATATATAATAATATATACTCCCTCATATTTTTATTATTTGTCACTTTGGCTTAATTGATCATTGATAAAATAAATGTCGTTTTAGATATTTTGTTCATATTTTTTCCATTTTTAACCTGACATCTAATACACAATGTCTCTTCATATCCCATCTCCATCATTCTCATAACATCCATTAAATAGAGTTAATATTGACAAGAAAAAAAAAACCGTTTGTTCCATTTGAATTGATATTATGAAGTCCGTTTGTATTTTACTATTTATTTATATATATAATACAAAACAGTAATATAAGAAACCTGGCAGGCCTTACTAAAGTGGAGTTCCAAATTCAAATAGGAGAACCAGTCCAAAATAAATAGCCTATCTGCAACCTTTGAGGCTCTCAGAGAAATGGGAGTTGAGAATCATTGGGAGGAATGGGAAAGAACCAGGGCTGATCTAGAAAAAGCTCATACCTTTGAAGAACAATTCTGGAAACAGAGAACAAAGATTACCTGGTGGAGAGAAGGGAATGCAAACACAAAATTTTTTCATGCCTATGCAAGGCAAAGAAGAAAACTAAACTTCATTTCTAGGCTGTTAACAAGAGAGCACATTGTTTGTCAAACCCAAACTGAGATTGAGAACCACATCTCTAAGTATTTCAACTCTTTGTTCAAATCAGAAGGCTCATGGGGTGGGGACTCCCTTACTCAATTAATTCCCAAAACAATTCAGTTGATATGAACCAACAGTTGTTGAGGGCCATCAAAAGTTTCTTTGACTCAGGCTCTTTCCTTCAATACTGGAATCACACCCTGGTGACTCTCATCCCAAAATGCAAGCTTCCTGAATCTCTGCACCAATATAGGCCAATCAGCCTATGCACTGTAGTATACAAAATCTTCTCAAAGATCTTAGCCCTCAGAATGAAGCAATGCCTTGAATCTTGCATAAGCCCCTCTCAATCAGCATTCCTCCAAGACAGGCAGCTCACTGATAATGTCATCATTGCCCACGAGGTTTTTCATTTTTTGAGCAGGCACAGAACAGGGAAAATTTTTTTTATAGGTTTTAAATTGGATTTAATGAAGGCTTTTGGTACTGTGGAATGGAGCTGCCTTCTCTCTATCATGCTACAAATGGGGTTTGACTGGAATTTTGTCAAACTAATCAAAGCCTGCATCTCAACCTCATCTTTTGCTTTCAATGTAAATGGAACAGTGGGTGGCCTTGTTTATCCTTCAAGGGGTATACGTCAAGGGGACCCACTGTCTCCATATCTTTTCATTATTGTGGCAGAGCTGTTTTCTCTGATGATAAAAAATGTTGTGGACAGAGGAAGGTTAGATGGTATCAAACTCTCTCATGAAGGCCCCTCTATTTCCCATTTGATGTTTGCAAATGACATTATACTGTTCTGCAAAGCAGGTTTGGACCAATCTCAGACTCTCAGAGAACTGTTGGAACAATACAGGCTGTTTTCAGGGCTTAGAGTGAACATGGTCAAATCATCAGCTTTTTTCAGCAAGAACACTCCATCTTTATTGATCAATAGAATCTACACATCACTAGGAGGCATCAAAGAAATCCACAAGATATCTCGGTTTACCACTTGGACTTAGCAGGACCAAAAGAGAAGCTTTTGCCTTTGTTGTGGAAGCTGTTAAGGCAAAACTGACAAGCTGGAAGAACAAAACATTAGCACCAGCTGGCAAGGAGGTCTTGATTAAGGCAGTCCTTAATGCCATACCTGTTTTCACAATGGCATGCTTCAGAATTCCAGTGGCAATGGGGAAAGAAATCTCAAAATTGTGTGCTCAGTTCTGGTAGAGCAAAGGGGAAAACCAGGACAGGGGCATTCATTGGAAAGCTTGGAGTAAGCTTACTATTCCCAAAAGAGAAGGAGGCCTAGGTTTTCAAGATGTTTTGCTATTCAACCAAGCTTTAATTTGCAAACAGCTCTGGAGAATCACTTCTCAACCAGAGCTTCTAGTGAGCAAGGTTCTGAAATCCAGGTACTACCCTTCCTGCTCTATTTTTTAGGCTGTTAACTCCTAACATTGCTCTTGGCTTTGGAAGGGATGGCTTGACTACGTCCCTCTTTTTGCAAATGGGCTCAAAACTGAAATCAGAAATGGAATTTCCACAAAAATCGATGACATTAACTGGGTTCCAAATCTTCCAAAACCCAGACATGATCTCATTGACATTGCTAGAGGACATCTGATTTTTGTAAAGGACCTACTGAATTCTGATGGGAAAAGTTGGAACTCTTGGTTAGTTAATCAGGTTTTTGATGAAGCTGACAGTAGAGCCATTCTGAACATAACCTCTCTCAACCCAAACAGACCTGACATATTGTATTGGGGCTTGGACAAAAAAGGAAAATTTTCAGTCTCTTCAACCTATGATCATTTAATTTCCAGGAAAGTTCAAAACCTTGATATCCCAGAAGGAAGCAGCAACTCCCAACTTATCAAAGCAGTTAGAGATTTTACTTAGAAGCTGAAAATCAATGGAAAACTCAAACATTTCCTTTGGAAATGCTGCTCTGGTACTTTATCTGTCAAGGTGAATTTGAGGGCAAAAGGTATGGAAGTCGATGTCATATGTCAGAGTTGTGGTGAGGAATCGGAAACAATAGAACACATTTTTTTCCACTGCCCTAAAGCTAGTAATCTCTGGAAGGTTGGTCCAGTCCAATGGGAGGGCATTTGTAACTCAGGTCACAGTTTTGGATCATGGTGGAGACAGGTTTGTTCCATTGGAAAGAAGGAAGTTGCAGTGGAGAGGATCCAACTCACTACATACCTGTTATGGTGGCTTTGGCGTTCCAGGAACCTTTGGCTTTTTGAAAGAACCAACATCCCTATGCAGACAGTGATCAGAAGTGCATCAAGAGAATGGCAGGACTTTTCTACCTTGTGATCTGTTGTTTTCTGCTATTTGTATTAATATTAGTGTCTGATGTATTTTTCTTCCTTCTGTTTCTTTTTTAGTTTGCTTTTCTGGTCTTTTGAGTTCTCAGATTGATGGCAAAGCTAGGCCTTATGCAGTGGTTGTGTTTTCTTTCTGATTTGTCCATGTTTGCTTAGGTGATTGCCCGTATGTGGGTTTCTAGGCCGCTTTTTAGCGTGACTTTTCATTTTTTCTTAGTTTCATTGTCGGTGTCCGTCTGTACTCTGTATTCGATCTTTGATCCCTTGAGTGGTTATATATAACTCCCTATCGTTTCGAACAAAAGAAAAATTCTATATCAAATTATTCATCTTTTGATGAGTTTCGATTTGACATCCATATTGTATATATAAAATAAATAAATTATATTTATCTTTATAATAATAATAAAATTATTTATTAAAATTAATTAGAAAATAAAATTATTTATCAATTAATATATTTATGTTTAATGTAGTTATATGTTATAAGGTAGAAAATTTATTATAATATAACACATATAAGTCGCAAGTAACATGTGTCATACTAAAATATATAATAATATATACTCCCTCATATTTTTATTATTTGTCACTTTGGCTTAATTGATCATTGATAAAATAAATGTCCTTTTAGATATTTTGTTCATATTTTTTCTATTTTTAACCCGACATCTAATACACAATGTCTCTTCATATCCCATCTCCATCGTTCCCATAACATCCATTAAATAGAGTTAATATTGACAAGAAAAAAAAAAATCTTAATTAGTTTGTTGCATTTGAATTGATATTATGAAGTCCGTTTGTATTTTACTATTTATTTATATATATAATACAAAACAGTAATATATATCCTTATAAATAAAATTTAAATGTATTTATCAAACTAAATTAAATTATATCAAATAAAACTATAAATTATTTTATAAAGTAATAGAAATTGGTATATATTCTTTTAAAAATGATATTTATTTCAAATCTAATTGATATGTTGTCAATGTAATAAAAATAAATAATTACTTATATAAATTCTAAAATTACATATAAAATTAAAAAGCTGTGAACCACGACTGACACGACACTTGATATATTAGGTATCTAATTAAGTAAAAAAATTAATCTATTTTACTTAATATTAAATAAACATATTCTACACTTATGCATATACATGTCACCATATTATTTCTATTTATTTAAGATATATATATTTTTGTACTTATGTAATAGTAAATAATATCAATATTTTTATATGACATAAGTAAAAAATTCAACACGGGTTGACATTTTCATTTAATGTACGGGTGTTTAATTATTATAATTAAAAAAATATAACTTGACAATTTAATTAAAACCCAAAGTAATTTTTTATATAAAATTAAATTATTTCTGTTTTTAAAAAAATAAAAAATTTAATATTTTTTTAAAAAAGCTTTCTAATTCAACACCCGTGTAATACACGGATATTGTACTAGTTAATATTACATTAAAATATATTCAAAAAATGTAGCGCATACACATCTAGCGCAGAGCTACAGATGGTCTAATTTTAACCACTCATAAATTTCAATCAATTTTTTCATACTTTTACATCAAACCAACTTTAATCATTATATTTTAAATATTATTTTAATACAAATTCAAAATCTCACTCAAACCTAACACAATCTACTTTTTCAAAATTAACCCAACAAATCTAATCAAATATAAAATAACTTATATCCAATGACCGCTTAGATGTTAATGTTAACGAATTCAATTATGTAGCTTAGGGCATCTACCCATTTTCTACTGTAAACGGTATTGGGAAAATTTCCTTATTCAAAAGCATTTCGGAAAGGAGTATTGAAATACAATCAAACCAATATCTAACACAACCATCACTAGTCCGCTTCTGCTTTTAATATTACATGAAGTTCTTGCAAATTAAGTTCACAGTATTACAGTAAAAAACACAAATCCTCAAACACGATACCTTCATATTACAGTCTCGAGATCTGAAGAGGAACGCTTGCTTCGACGGCTTCCTCCCGACAGGCGACGAGCGGCATCCTCTCGAGACTCCCGAGCTTCTGCAGTGTGTGCCTCTGACAATTTTCGGCGGCCAATATCCCGGCAGAGTAGGCGCCGTGAACCGAGCCCTGATGGTCGACGCTCACAGCCTCGCCCCCAAAGAAGAGATTGCCCACTGGGGTCCGCAGCCGGTCATATATGTCCTCCGAGTTGCCGACTGCATCATACGAATACGAGCCCAGGATATTCGGGTCCGTTCCCCAATGTGACAGACGGTACTGAACCTGCCATGCAAACCATTCAGAAAACTTCAATTGGGATTTCTAGAAACTTTTGATTTTTTAAGACTTTTAAAAGTCTTGGGGGTATTCAAATGAGATTTTAAAAAGTCTTACAAAATCTTAAGGTATTTAACTTGTTTGAGACTAGTATTTGTTAAGACTTTTTAAGATTTGGTGGGATTTCTAAAGAAAAAAACTTATACGAAATCTCACCCAACTTAAGATTTCACAGAATCCTTCCAAAATCTCAAACTCTTAGGTGTATTCAATTAGGATTTTAAGGACTTTTTAAGACTTTAGAAATCCTGGTGTATTCAATTTGAATTTGTTAAGCTTTTAAAAGTCCTGGGGTATTCAATTGAGATTTTAAAAAGTCTTACAAAATTCTGAGGTATTTAATTTATTTGACACTTAGATTTGTTAAGACTTTTTAAAATTTGGTAGAATTTCTAAACAAAAAATCTTATACAAAATCTCACTTCAAATCCTACTTCCAGACTTAAGATTTCTCAAAATTCCTCCAAAATCTGAAAATCTTAAAAAGTCTTAAAATATCAATTAAATCCGAATTGAATACACTAAAAAGTCTCAAAATGTCACTTGAAATCCCAATTGAATTTAATTGCAGATTTTCGTGGTGGCATTTTAAGAACCGTGACAAATACATCTGACTCGACTTGCTAAAACATAACATCAGAACATCAGCAACAAGTCGATTAAAACTAAAAAAGCTAAAAAAAAAATGTTGATACCAGCATTATTTTAATTAAAACTTACAGGTTCAGTTGCATCTGGAAACATTCGTTTCAACTGTACCATTGCAAAATCAGCAGCAGCCTCGTCCGATAGCTTTTCAAGATCATACGCAAGGGCCCCAGCTGCCATATAGACGAGGACTGGATGGCCTGTAGCCTTATGGAGATTAAGAAAATAGCCACATGAATAAGAAGTGGTGGCAACAACGCCTAAAAGTTCCACGTTCGGCCAAAAGACATTGTCGAATTTCAGTGCAATTTTATTCTCATTTCCGATACCAAGATCGGATATTGCAGACTGTTTCCATTCTGGAAGACTAGGCTCAAACTCAATCGAGTTGGCTTTTAGAATCCCCAAGGGAACAGTGACTATGGCAGCATTGGCTACAAACTTACGGCCATCCTCGACTGTTACAACCACCTTCTTATACCCGTTGACAATTCTTTTAACCCTATAAATTATTAAGATTGAGAAATTTAATTAATATTTCACTGAGACGCTTTCTGTCAGAGCTAGATTGAACAACATCTGAAATAGTCCAACCTTAAGTGAACAAAATATGCCTAAATCCTGCTGCAAATTATCTAGATAATCAACTAAATTGTTCTTATTGTTAATTATATCTTCTTTTAATATTTTCATTTTTATATGCATACAAGAGGCTGTATGAGATTTTTTCCTTTTGGATAAACTAGTTACCAGCGTAATATAACCAAAGTCAAGTTTAGGAACAAAAAGATCTAATATCAAATTTGGAGCTAAATCAGTAATCCATTAACTCAATTAGGAATTCAAACAATCATGCCTAATCAAGCAAGATATTTATGAAAATTATGAGATATTTCCATCAGGGACATGTGCATACATACCGGTGATTTAAGCGAATATCAATATCTCTAGACAGGGCCTTAATCACTGGATCATACCCTTGCACCATGAGGCCATGGCCACCGGTAAGTACTTTCTCCTGAACACAGGAAACAGCCAGGTAAACAAGACAGCAGTTATATAGGTAGTGGTAATACTTAACCCAGTGAAACCAAATTAAATGCTTTCATTATAAACCCACCAGACATGCAGGGGTGGAAGCTTTTGAGCATTATCGGGATTGGTTAAACCCATCCAGTTTCGATATGTTTGATTTTTTATAAGATGACAGACCAAAAGTTAGAAATGTGCATATCGGCATCCAGTTCATACAACTCATTGACTCAGTGAACGATCACTTTCTCGCAATTCAAAGTTGATAGCACTAAAGAAGAAGCAGTTGAACTTCACAATAAATGTTTTTTTAAAAAGAGAACAAAATAGAGAAATGGAAATAACTTGCCTGATCCCAGGCTTTCAGAGATATCATGTCTGCATCGGCAGCAAACCAAGCCTCCATTCTACATATGTACCACTGTAGAACTTCATGTGCAAGACCTTCTTGTCTGATGGCATTCAAATTACGGCAATGAGCGATAGCTTTTTATTTAGAAAGTTAATATTAAGAGGAACCAAGCAGCTGATTACACTACCTAAAATCTGGATGTCTATCCAGCACGATCGATATTGCTTCCTTCACAGATATGTCATTGCTCAGTTCATTCCTCACTTTATCCGTCTAAAAGAGAGAGAAAAACATATTATCATTTGGCTCCTGCATCACTAGTGCACAACAGGTCTAAAGACAGATACTAAAAGGAGTACATTACCTCTTCAAGGATTTTCTTAAATGCAACTCCAACTTCAATAACCATTTTTTGTGGAACTTGATGACCATTTATGTCGAATAGAATATAACTGAAAAGATCAAAACCAAAAATTAGTAACCCTCTCAAGAAATTAACAATATCAATGTACAATGATTTACGATGAAATGAAAAAGTAGTGAAAGTAAATAAACTACAAATGTAAAAGGACATTGAATCAAGAGCAGTTGCATTTATTTTTGCAAAATGAAGTTAAAAGAAATAAAGTCCATATGTGGAAAGTATTTCCAGAATGTCTCGTTCATATACTACTTAAAGCGATAGTAATAATAGATAAGTAAATATAGAGCTGTATACCTTTCCAAATCATGATCATATAGAAGGGAGTCGTCACCACTTGTGCGATACAAGGTGAGCCCCAAACGGCGTATAATGGGAGACAACGGATTCTCATTGCAGACACCATGTAACCTAAGTATTGCCAAGAAAGTAAAATACAATTAGAGAATTATGATTAGCAAAGACCAGGCAGAATAATGCAAAGTTGGACATTTTCCTTATTGAAATACTCCATATTGATCAGAACTCTGTCTTTCTACTGGCTAAACAAGAGAACTTGACTTTATCACCAAGAACATAAGTTAACTTTCTGATGAAAGTTGGATGATTTAAGCTTGTTGCAATACGCATATCATTTCATTTATGCGTGACAGTTCAAGGGAAGTTTTCATGTGTAAAAGTTCATTTTAGGAGATAACTTATTTTCCTGGAATAGAGCCGGAGAATGATACGTGCAAATAAGAAGCACAAAAAAGAAAAAAATAAAATAAATCTTCCATTTGGAAAAAAAATGCCTAGGGATGGAAAACTTGCCATGAAGCTCCCATGTCAACTGGGCAACCAAATGAGTAATCAGTGTGAATACGACCACCAATCCTGTCTTGGGACTCCAACAGGATCACCTAGAATAGAATATAGCCAAACAATCATGAAAATACATAAAAGATAAGATTTATCACTATTAAAGGAAACCGGATACATATGACTTGGTCATCACACCTTAAAAGATGCATTTTGAAGCATGTGGGCTGCAGCAATTCCTGATATACCCCCACCAACAACGATGACAGAAGGCAATGCATTATGTTGTCTCTCAACAAGTGACGCATAAATGCCTAGTCACCAGAAGACAATTGGTCAGAAAAGAACAATGAATTTGTGTAACTTCTTGAATTTCAAAAAACAAAATAAAAGTTGTTAGAGTTACCCTCGTCTGGGAACAGTTAAAACAATAACTCTTCACAGGGAAACAAACTCTAAAAGCAAGACGATCAACAATAAAACAACAAAATAAGACAGATTTGATTTTAGTATTCTATTATGTATAGTACGAGACGTTGCCTTTAACAGTGTAGAGTTTCAGTATGTAACTTCTCGTATTTCAAAAAAAAAAAAAAGCTTTTCTGGTTTCCCTCATCTGGAAACAGTTATAACAATGAAGGTTGACATGGAAAAAAACTCTAAAAACAAGGGAATCAAAGATAAAAAAACATAACAGATTTTATTAGACTAACCTATTATGCATAATACAGGACACTGCCTTTAACAGTCTAGAGTTCCAGTAACCACAAACAAGGAATCAAAGACTCATCAAATACAACCAGGATGACGGTTTAGCCTTAGCTAGAAGGAAAAGGCAAGGTGTTTGAAAATCTAAACAGCATCACATTCGAATTGTGACGTCATATCTGGCCCCATATCAAACTCATCATAGAAAAAAGGGAGTCCACTGATCACCAAACATTATAATAACACATCTAATGAAATCGCTAATCAAATCATACATATCCATTCAAGTTCAACAAACAACAAGCAACTTAACAGATTTGATCACGGCCATATACACACATCAAACAGAGAAGCCACAAGCAAAATCAAACAACAAGCCAATTAACAGATTTGATCACGGCCATATACACATAAAACCACAAAACCCAATTGCAATGATCCAATCAAACACTAGAAACGTTAGACTACAACTTAAAAACACAAAGAACGAGTCACAACAAAACTAACCATCGAGACACTCGCCAGCTAGCGAGTCACCGCCGAACTTCACTTCCATCGACCGGCCGCTTGAAACACCTCCAATTCACCGCCTCACAACAGTTGCAACACGGAATTCGCCAACACAACAACGGGGAACCAAATTCGACAAGTCGAGCAGCAATTCAAAACGTAGCAGCAGCAAAAACAACAGCAGAAAGAAAAAAAAAAGTGTAGAACAGAGTTTACGGGTGTATAGGAACCGGAAAATTAGAAATCAGCTGGGAGGAATGGTAGAGGAGGAAGAGCAAGAGGCCGGCAACCAAGCGGCTGAGATTGGACGCGCAGCGCAGGTTATCATCAAACAAATTCTTAATAATCATAATCGCAGCACTCTCCGGAGCTGCATTCACAGCAACCGCCACGGGATTCGAATCGGAAATTTGTCCGTTGCGCAAAGAGCGATGCCTCCGTCGTCCTTGGTTGCATAGAATTTATTATTCCTTTACCTCTGGCTGTCTCTCTCTCTCTCTCTAGCTCTCTGTGATTCTCTCTGTTACAATCGGTAGAGAACGAAGATAATGACGGGTTGATATAACGAATTTGTTGTGGCGTTTTGCGTGATGGATGGGTCATATGGGTAGATGAACGAGTGATGCTGATATTATTTGGGTTCAGTTGGGAGGGCAAATTCGGGATTTGAGATTGACAGCCAAACATTAGGGAGATTTTGATTGTTGATTGTTGGCTTCTCCCCCACCTTGAACTGCAGTGCCGTGTTGGGTCCAAATAATATCTAAGAATAGGTTTTCGATTATATATGTTATCGGTGTATATGTGTTAGTTATAATTTAAATAAATAATAAAATATTTACAATCAGTACATATTTAAGTATAGAAAAAACAAGAATATTGCCATTGTAATCTGAATATTTCTTCAAACTAATAGTTGTTTATATAATATCTATCGTTTAATAAAAAAGAATACTGATTTCTATTGTAATTTGGAAAACATGTAGACTATTTTGAAATAAGAAATGCTTTATGCTGCGAGAACTTTACTTTTATACTTTGAAAACGTGATTTGAGATTTTTATTTACATTAAAATATCCAAAATAGTTATTAGTTGTCAAGTAAATTATTGTAAATAACATGTCGAGTTATTTGAATGGAAAGTTATTTGTAAACGCAAAACTAATAAAACTTCTGGTTGAGATATTCAATCCTAAAACATTTAATAATTTGAATTAAATATTATCATAGAAAATGTTTGACAGAGGAAAGACAACTGTAGAGAATGATTTTTTCTTCATCGTATATGCATGTAGATTATTAGATTTAAGTAAAAAAAAAATTATAAAAGTTAATTACTTTTGAAAAAAAAATGCATCTACTTTACTTACAAAACAAATGTTCAACTACTTATAATCTATACTTATATTAAAGGGGTACTATTTACCAAATTAAGTAGCCAGAAAAATCAACAGCATTTATTATATTACTATTTTCATATTATACTATATAAAAAGATATTCTATTTACTACATTTACTATCTAGAAAAGTCAACTGCATTAAATGTCATTACTATTTTGATATTATAATATTTTATTTATTTAATTTATTTATTTATTTATTTTATTTTAAAAAAAAATCATATAATTTTATAACAATTCTACTACACTATTTAACAATATTCCTTTTTTATTATATAATAAAATAATAATTAAATATTATATGGTGAACAACAATAAGTAAAACTGTTACTTTCTCTTATATTAAGGGATAAATTTATATGCTAAAATTAAATTTTTATTAGTATAAATGTTTTAGTAAGATAATATATTAATTATTTTACAAGCTAGCCCTAACATGCTCATATTTAATGTTTTAAAAGATGTAGAAAAAAAAACTTATAATAACTCTATTATTTTTTTAACTTAAACGTTGATTAAAAGAGGTAAAAATTCCTAATTTTTTAAACTTAAACGTTGATTAACACCATAGATTGAGAGTTTATATTTAGTAAAATTCCTAATTGTAATAAAAAAATTAATTTTTGCTACATGTTAGAATATCTTTAAATTCATTATAAAAAAACAGAAAGAAAAAAAACTACAATGAAAAAAGCAAGTCAGCTATATATCGATTTGTTGTACTCCTCAAATCATATTCACAATTTGGCTACAAGGAAAGGAAATTCATTGATTAAAATATTATTTTGTCAGTAGTCTTAATGTACAAGAGACTTAAGACTCCACTTGAATATTATAAAACTTTCACTGAACATTGTACAATTTCTTGCGTATTATAAACTTTTATTGAATATTGCATCTTATAATATAATATTCTCCAAATAAATATATCTCGTGCTTCGCACGGGTCACGTACTATATCCCGTACATTTTTCTTTATTCATGTATATAATTATAAGCCTGGATAAATAGCCTTAAAATTGTGCACCCCGTGCATCGCACGGGCTCTGTACTAGTAATGATAATATATAAACTACAAGTGTTTAATTTCAAATAATTCGCTTGTAATGATGTTTTGCATTTGAAAAAACATATTTATAAATTCCGATTGTTAGTCACTCTCTTAGTCCTAACATTTTTATGAAAATGGCATATGCAATTAATTATTTAAAATTTCCAGTGTTTTCTAAATGAAAAATTATGGATGCTGTTGTTGTTACTGAAAATACTACTCCATATTGCTTGCTTTCCAGGAAATTATTTAAGATTTTTAAATTCATGCAACTAGGTTATGTTATATGCTAAATTAGTAGAAATTCAAATTGGAACAAAATTCTATTGATCTATCGAAAATGTAGCTGTATATTTAAAAAATAGTAAAAGTATGTGTTTTCTTGCACAACATTATCACTCTTGGAATGCTTCGTATAATATCAGTATTATCACTCTCGGGAATGTGCATAATATCATGAATGCAGAAAAGAAAATTGTAATAGGAATCATTTTCTTGCCTAACATTATCACTGTGTAGAATAGTTAAAGGGAATTAATTTCTTACATTAACATTACCCCTATCGGTAGATGTGTATTTAAAAAATGGTAAAAGTAATGATTCTCTTTCACAATTATCACTCTTGGAATACACCGTAATGTCAACATTATCACTCTCGGGGATGTGCGTAATATCATGAATGCACAGAAAATAATTTTAATATGAATGATTTTCTTGCCTAACATTATCACTATGGGAGATAGAACTGAGCAGGGGGCTTGGATATACCGAACCATTTGAAAAACTAGTTCATCTCGAACCGAAAAATATTTCTTGATTGTTTGACTATCTCCAGACCGAACCGTACTGAACATTTTTAGCACGGTTTTAGAGATTCGTAAAATATATATACTTAGAACCGAACCGAAAATTCGAAACAAAGAACCAATGATATAGTTAATTATTTTAGCATGGCATAAATTCAACAGTGTATGCCAATGATATAGTTAATGCTTCATAAAAATGTCATATTTAATAATATTATTCTTCTTATGCATAAACTATATGAGTAAAATATTTTGTTTTATGTTTCTTTTGTGCATAGTTATGTTAATATATTTAAAAACTTTAACTATATATGACAATAACATATTTAAAGTTTCATGTCATATTTAATAATATTATTCTTCTTATGCATAAACTATATGAGTAAAATATTTTGTTTTATGTTTCTTTTGTGCATAGTTATGTTAANTTTTCGTACATAATTCTTTTAGAATTTGCATACGTTCAATAATGTATGCCCATAAAATAATTAGAGTTTCATAAAAATCTCATATTTAATAATACTACTCTTCTTATTTAAAAATTTATATGTGTAAATATTTTATCTCATGCTTTCTTTTGCACATAATTATTTTAATATATGTATAAGTTTAGTAATATATAGTAACAAAGTTAAAGTTTAACGATCATATTTAATATTACTATTATTTATTTTTTATAAAGATTTATACATTAATATATTATCTTATGCTTTCTTTTGTACATATTATTTTGGCATTTGCATAAATTCAACAATGTATTTTAACAATATAGTTAAAGTTCATGAAATCTCATATTTGATAATATTATTCTCTTTACTGAAAATGCATATATATCTTATACTTTCTTTTGTACATAATTATTTTATCATTGCATAAATTTAACAATATATGACAATAATATACTAATTGTATGAAAAGAAGTTCAATTTTACAAGAAAAAAAGAAAATCTCCAAAAATCTCTGAATCTCCGAAATCTGGTCCGTATTGAACCCTCCCAGTTGACCTGAATCTCCAAAACATACCAAACCGAAAATTGGATGGTTCAGAGATTTCTTCACACCAATTTGGTTATGAAGATTCAATTTTGAAGATCTCCAAATTTGAAGATGATTCCAAAAATTTTTGGATATTCGGATCGTCTGGTCAGCTCTAATTGGAGAATGCTCGCGAGCAGTTGTTTATTTGAAAAATTGTAATACCGTGCCTAAAATGATTTATCAATTATTAAAGATATGAAATATATGATGCAATAAGTGTTAGATGAGTTATCAATTATATATACCACTTCGCCATATTATACTTGCAATTATTTTTAATTTTAATATTAAATTTGCATAATCATTTTTTAGCTGTTAATACTAAATTGTATAAAGCTTACCATTATTCTTTAATTTATAATTTAAATTTGGATAATCATTTTTTATTTGTTAATATTAAATTGGAGAAATTGATGGACCAATTTGACCCCTACAAATATATAAGAGTTAATGATAGATATAGGTGTAAGGCTACACTTCTAAAATAATTTACAAATTATATTACCTTACTAAACTTCTAAATTCTTAATATTATACAAACATGAAAAACCGGTTGGTTGCTAATCTACCAGATTTTTATGAACCGGTTGGTAGCTACTCTGCCAGGTTTAATCTACCAGATTTTTATGAGCCGGTTGGTAGCTACTCTGCCAGGTTTTATGAACCTATACGTATGCTGCTAATCTACCTCTGCCAGATTTTATGAACCTATACCAGATTTTATGAACCGGTTGGTATGTTAATCTGACAAATTAAATTAACTCGCCTAATTTTGGATCATGATCAACCAAATTTATAGGCAAGGGTTTAAATGTCATGTGTGGTACGAAAGGTGTCTTAGTAGTATTTTTATATATTAAAGGACTTTCAAATTCTTATAATGTACTGCTCAATTTTTACGTAGTGTGAATGTGTGATTGATTCAAATTATATTTACATATATTTTCGTTAAAGCTATAGGTTGCAATAAAAGATCACTGCCATTGAAAACGAAGTCTGACACTTCATTAATATTGGATGCATTTTTAGCTTTCTACTTCACATAACATAGGTATCGAACCAGAGACGACAGACATTCATCTGATAGCCATTACAAAGTGCCATATCTCATACTGAATACGAACCCATTTATAAGTCTTGCCAGCAACACACAACACACAGAACAGGTAAGGAGACAGTAATCAAAACGAAACAGTTAAGCCAAGAAGTGCCATAAACTGAGCTATGAATTCAGGATGACCTGGCCAAGCTGCACCAGTTACTAAATTCCCATCCGTAAAGCAACGGTGGATTGGGTCCGGTTCTAACCAAGTGGCCCCCGCAAGGACAACGTTAAGTTTCACTGCCGGATATGCAGTGCATTTCTTGCCCTGCAAATTATATACATCATTTCATAAAAAGGAATAAAAACAAAAGGAAAACAATGCATAATTGCACCTAATAACACAAAATGTCACAACCTTCACCTATTTTGCAACAACAATACTACTTTTTATTTTGGCAAAAACAAATCACGACTTCTCCATTGTTTGCAGAAACTCCTAGAAAATTGCAATTCAACCCCCCACACTATACCTAATTTTCATAAACCTCGCCATAAATTGCCAAACCAAGAAAAGAAAGGAACAAATACTTTGTTATCTACAGTCTGTAATTGGCGTCGGAGATTAAATTGTCACTCGACGAATTCGAACTTTTTGAACTGACCAATTTGTGTGACCCCAAGATTACGTATTACATTGAACAACATGACTTAAGCCAAAATAAGAAATATATAATGCATACATGTGATGAATTTAATGAGATACACTGCCTAAAACACAAGCTTGCATTATCTAGAGCCAACACACATATTTTGGAAGGTTGGTTACAGAAGGGATGAATACTGACACTACAACTATAGTGTTCAAAGAGGGCAAGTTTAACAGCATTCCTCAAAATTATCCAGTGCATATGTAATTCTTTCCTTCATATTTATCTTAACAATGCATAATACAGTCAAAGTGAGCTGTATATGACTCCAGAAGTTTTTCAGGAATGTACTATGCATCTTTTTTTTTTTTTGGCAGCCATCATAAAAGATTCAAAATTGTTCTGGTACTATGCCAAACCTCAATGACCTCTACCATTTTTCCTCATGATGAAATTCAGCCGTTTAAAAGCCTATTTTCGATTATCAGTTAGATATTACCATGACCGAGCTTCATTATTCAAGTTAAAGTGATTTATTCTATGACAATACAATATTTTGTTTCAGATTGTGGTGTAGGTTAATTATTATTATTATTATTATTATTATTATCCTTATTATTATAGTAATTAATATTATTTAATAATTAATAGCTTAGAGAATAAGCTAGGGTATTATTTGATGGCTTTATTTAAAGGGATCTTAGTCTTTGTTATGGTCAGTTGATTATTGAATGAAATATGAAGTGATTGTGAGTTTTATTGAGAGAGTATCTCATTTATCTTTCTCACTCGTACGCTTCCCTACATCAGTTGGTATCAGCAGTCAGTACGATTCGCGATGTCGCCGGGACGAGAAGATGCCGCAGACGAACGACGTGACAAACCTTCAACGATCGATTTCAACAGATCGACTACCGATTTGAACAATTGGACGTGCGTTTCACGGATTGGTTTGCCGATCTTTCGACGGGGATCGAGGATGTGCATTTGTCGCTTAACAACGTGATTGTTTCGAAATTGCAGACGAACCGCGATGGGGCTGTGGGCCGTGGCTTTCGCGGGGGAGACAGAGGCGGTTGTGGGGGACGCAGCCATGTCGGGGCGCCCCGGCAGCGATCCCCGCCACCTCTGAACGGCATCAAGGATGGTGACTTTACCTGGTCGGCTAACCCGTTGGCAGATCGACCACCATGGCGAGGAGACGAAACCACAGGTCAATCCCGAGTTCGCGAGCAACGGCGGGCTAGAGTTAGTTTCGTACATGGAGGCGGATTTTGGGCGTGTGAAAGAGACGACTCCAGTTGCACTTCTGGGCCTCACAAAAGCATTTTTGGGCTTGTGAGGGTGATGTCGTTTTTGGGCCTGCGCCCAATTCAATTTATTGGGCTCAGGGGAAGGATGGATTTAATCCTTATTTTGGGCCTGAACAGGCTTTGACTTCGAGTTTATAGATTACCTGAATTTTGAGCCCGACACGTGCGATATCTACTACGGTCCGCCAATTTTTGATGAAGAGCCTCCGGTGACGAAGACATATTTTTGCAGTAATATGGGTCCCGCGTGGGACGTCGCAACTGTTGAGTCTTCGAATTGGCAGCCGTCATTCACACCCGATTTTTTGAGTATTTTAGCCAAAGATGGTTTTTCGGAGTCGAAGCCGAGACTCCATAACTGGTGGGCCATTTTTCGATTGTTGTTCCCGAAGTCTCCCAACACCGGGATGTTTGGTCGTAGTTATAGATTTATGCGCGGTGAACGATGTGGTCTGTTTTGTGTTCATTCGGTTGTGTGGGCTTTGCGTCGGGTGTCGTGTACATGTGACTGTTGAATCCTTGACCGAGATTATGTTTACCTTCGAGATTGTTGGACGACTTTCAACCTTCGTGTTCGATCGGAGAAAACGTTCGGGTTGTTGCTGTCTTGAGAACGTCTCCAACGGGAACGGGTCGGATTCGAGGACGAATCATGTTCAACCGGAAGAGAATGGTGTAGGTTAATTATTATTATTATTATTATTATTAGTATTAGTATTCTTATTATTATATCAATTAATATTAGTTAATAATTAGTAGCTTAGAGAATAAGCTAGGGTATTATTTGATGGCTTTATTTAAAGGGATCTTAGGCTTTGTTATGGTCAGTTGATTATTGAATGAAATATGAAGTGATTGTGAATTTTATTGAGAGAGTATCTCATTTATCTTTCCCACTCGTACGCTTCCCTACATCTAAGGAAAAAAGTTTCCAAAGGAACAAATAATATAAACAAAACCGATTTCAAACTATTTTGAGTAGCGAACCAAGTAAACCACATGCATGGTGGAGAAAAGGCACCAAAACAAGAAACACGCCAAAAGTAATACTCGTAAGGTCGAAAAAACTATACCTTCAAAACACCAGCAGCAGATAAAATCTGCTGCCCATGGCAGATGGATGCTACCGGTTTTCCCGATCCCATAAACTCCTTCACCAGCTCAATAACCTTTCCATTCAATGTCAAATACTCAGGGGCCCGACCCCCAGGAATAACGAGCCCATCATAGCGTGAAGCATCCAGGCCTTCAAAATCGGCCGTTAAACTGAAGTTGTGGCCCGGCTTCTCACTGTACGTCTGGTCACCTTCAAAGTCATGAACAGCAGTAGGGCAAGTCTCTCCAGCTTTTTTCCCAGGGCAAATGGCGTCCACGTGGCAGTCGAGGGCTTGAAGGGACTGAAACGGAACCATCACCTCGTAATCTTCCATGTAATCCTGACAACAAATGGATAAAGAGTGGATTTATGTGAATCTATTACTAAATAAGATTCCTAAGGTAGAAATATACAATTTTTTGGGGAGAGTTGGCTTGTGTGAATCTATTACTAAATAAGAGTGGATTTTTTTTTTTCTAGTTCACAAAATGAAACTTTTGAAACAAACACCACTAAAAAAACTTACTCCACAAAGGAACAGAATCCGCTTGCCTGAACCGGACATCTTTGCACCCAACGCCTTTATGAAAAGCCGAATGAACTCGGGATGCCCCATGTAAGTAGCCCCAGTGATCAGATTCCCATCAGTAGTGCAGAAGGCCACAGTCTCAGGCTCTACCCAATGGGAGCCTGCAGCAATGAGAGTGGGCCCCACAGCAGGGTAAGCCGTGCACTTCTTGCCTCTGACCAAATCTGCTGCAGCCAATATCAGCTGCCCGTGGCAGATGGAAGCAATTGGCTTCTGCAGACTTTCGAAAGTCCTAACCAACTCTAAAACTGATTCATTCATGGCTAGATATTCTGGAGCACGTCCACCGGGTATTACAAGCCCATCGTATTTGGTGGGGTCGATTTCGTCGAAAGTTGCATTCAGAACGAAATTGTGACCCCTCAACTCGGAATATGTCTGCGCGTTACCAATTTGTGAAACAATTGAGGACCATGTCCATAATAAGGCAAAAGGGTGAAACAATATTATGTAGTTTAGCATATTGATACATAGCATTGATTCCAGTAAGTCCCACCTCTGACTCATTTAACCAAGATTGCCAAACTCAAATAACTCAAGCACTAACAACTAACAACACACTTTCACCATGTTTATCCAATATTAATAACAGCAAACAGAACAGCAACAAATTCTCAAACACCTATTAGCAAATAAAGTAAAACCCAAATGACATAACAGCAATATACCTAACTTGAAAGATGCAAATATCCTCAATATCCACTTCACACCTCCAAATACCACATAAAGCATGTATAATCAACCAAATGGGCGCTTATTATTCTCTAATCACACACTTTCCAAAACAATAATCAATATAAATTGAGCCATGGTTCAACAAAACCTGATGGCCAGTGAAGTCATGGATCGCAGTGCGACATATTTCACCGGCTTTTTTTCCGGGGCAAACGGAGTCGACGGATAGTCCATATGCCAGCAGTGCTTGAAACGGGACCATAACCTAAGCATAGGTATCACAGATCTTTTCAATCAAACACTGGAAAACAAATTCCAAACATGAAAAATATGCAGACACGATGAGACGATGTCACCTCGTAATCTTCGACATAATCTCCGCACAATAACAGGACTCTTTTCTCGCTCGCCATTTCTTTGGGTCGGTATCAAGATGAATGTTTTGGTGCAAGTGTGAGTGGAGGAAATTTGAAGATGAATCAGCTTAACGACACATACAGATGTCAAGAAAAGAAGAAGCGGTGGTAGTGGTGAATATCTTGATATTTATTTAGCCCATGTTTGTTTTTAATAAAATATTATAAATGTGAAGCATTGTACCGTTTGGATAAATATAATTCTATGTTTGTTATGTGATAGGATTAGGATAATTTTATTTCTAAAAAAAAAAATTGTTTATGTCACCACAATTCAAACATAATGATATAAAATACTCTTTCACCTATCTGAATATATAGAAAAAATCTTTTTTGGGGGGAAAAAAATAATTCAACAAGGAAGGATTAAAATAATCTCATCTTTTACTTGTGATTCATTTATTTCATGGATAGGGAATAAATGTTATTTTTATCTCAAGCTGACCTAATCTCGCGGGCCTCAGTCCACCGAACCAAACGCAGGATTTGGTCTGGATTAGGCGGAATATCCTGCTTAATCCTAGAAAACAAACATGGGCTTATTTGCTATTTGTTAGGGCATCCATTTAATAGTCATTTAAATAGAATGCTCTTTCATTATATTTGATAATTAAATAAGTTATCTTATATTTTATTTGGTTAGTTTATAAGTTTTTTGTATTTAAATAAACCTCGTTTGATAGGACCAGCTTTTTTAAAAAGCTCAAGCTTATCTCATAAGCTTTTTTAGGTAACTTTTCAAATAAACTAGTTGAAATTTTTATATCAATTAATTTTATCAAACGCTATTAAATGTGGTAATTTATTCAAATAAATTTTTACCAAATACTTTTAAATATAGTAATTCATTCAAATAAAAAAATAATGAGTCCTATCCTAATAAATTAAATGTATTTTATGATATAGGCCTTGTTTGGTGAATTGCTTTTTGACCAGCCTTTAGCTTTTTGAGCAATTTTAGCCGTTTGACCAAATTAAAAGTGCTAAAATTTGTGTTTGATTAGATAGCTTTTGAAGTTGGCGAATTTATATATATATAATTGTTAGCTAATCCCATTTAATAAAACATTTAATAAAAATATTTTCACTTTCCCTCCAAAAGAAGTTACATTTTTTTAATTAATTACTCATTAATCTTACATTTAAGAAGGTTTTTTATAGTTAAACTAGTGTGCATCCCGTGCGATGCACGGACGGGCTTATTACTTAAAACTATTTTAAAACTTTATTTTGAACATAATTATTTACATTT